CATCTTTGAAGTAAAGCAACAATATTCAAGAGGACCTTTTTCAGAAAATCTCAAAAAGCCAGTTTCCATGCATACACAGTATCTTTAAACACTCTCAAACACGTGCAGCCTTATGCTGAAGCATTCTTCTCTTTCAGCTGTCGAACCTCTGCAACCACCCCCCCCCCCCACTTAGACTCTTGGCCAAGGAAATACACTCACCAAGCATGTCCCACACTGAGCCACATGGCCCTGTCTGAGTGCCTCTAACTTACCAGAGATAGAACGCTGACACTTGCAAATTTATCAATATTTCATAATTCCAATAAGTAATTGCGAATTTCTTAAAATACTGTGTCCTGTAAAGTTTCAAGTACACTCAACGGGAGGTTGTCTTGGTATTTGGTGTGATAAAAATGAAAAACACAAAACCACCATGTATATGCATGCATTGGAAAGATATTAAAATAAGCACTTTGACTACTGCTCGTATAAAAAGTTGGAATATTTCAATCTTCCTCAAATATCTGAGAGCAGTACAGAAGCCCCCCATGTTACAATGGTCTATTTTATGATATTTTGACTTTACGATCGATATGATTATTCAATAAATTCTATCCTTTATTAATGATTTTGCTCAGCTGTAGGCTAATGTAAGTGTTTTAAGCACGTTTGAGGTTGGCTAGGCTAGGCTATGATGTTTGTTAGGTGAGGTTTACTGTATTATAATGCATTTTTCCTTACGATAGGTTTATCATAACGTAACCTTATCGTAACCAAGGGACAGTCTGTACTTTGCTGGCGTTTACTTAGCCTAAATGAAGAAGACGCACACTTGTAGTATTTCAGCATTGGATGTGAAAGCCAGCCAGTCTGTTGGATATCAAAGCAGTCAACTTAATGAAAACACATATTGCTACAGGAGCTTTGAAGGTATCAGTGGCTGATTAATAGGAAGTACAAACAAGTATCTCAGTATCAGTAGGACATGACAGAATATAGCCGAAGGCTTTCTCTTGTAAACTGTACAGTCCCAAATAAGCTAAGCTGTGTACTGGAGTAACTAAGCCTTGCTTAGTGTGTGATCATCTGCTGCTTCTGCACAAACTGTATCTTGAGTAAAGCCCTGTGAATTTAGTATTTAACTCTAACATCTCCAAAACCAACCACCACCTACGTATGCAAAAGCAACCATACTCAACTAAGCCATGTGAAACTCTGTATAGCCTGTTAGTATGACACATACATACTCTAGTTATATCTTTAAAAATTCACGTTTTTGAGGCAGGAAGTGCACACTGAAAGACGAGCGAATGAAAGGCCTAGTGGAAGACCAATTTGGCCATTTACTGGAACCGTGTTCAAAACATCTGTCCAGGCTCTTCCCAGATCCAAATAGGCTGGTCTGCAATCAATGAGCTGTGGCAGTAAGTCACAGAGCAAGTTATTAAAGTGTGTGTACGGGGTAGGCATAGATGTTACTTAACTCTAGTCGCTCCAGATGTCTTAGCAAATTATGTAAAAATATCATTTAAAACAGAAGAAATATTTCCATTTCTAGGTAGCATTGCACTAGACAGAATAGCTTCCCTCTCTCACGTTAGAGAAATGCATTGTTTTGAATCACATTATTGTCAATGTTAGTGTCTGAAAGTTAGGGAGGAACAGAAATTACATACATGCATATAGATTATAAGTTCTATCCAATATATTTTATGAAAGGTGCATATTAAAAACTTGTGTATCTTTATTGGACACAGATTTCTATCAGCTGCAGTTCAGTTGTTTATACTTAAACTTTAATGTCAAATTTTAATTCAGCAACACCAGAAGTAATTAAAACTCTGGGACAGTAGTATTTAGCTGAGACTCTGATCCGAGGTTTGGTGGTATTTTTCGCCTATTATTATTCATTGGCAGCAAAAATTACAACAGGCTTGTTGCAAATGGAGGTTAATGTCAAACTAGTCCAATTACTGGCATTATCACTGTATGCAAACAGTGTCCAACCACCCATCAGTTTATGCTGGCACAACTCTGCATAATACATGAGACATATTTTATATACGCCGTTACTACCAGAGACCCATAATTATACTTAATGACTAACCCAATTCAATGTGCATGGAAAATGTTTGCAAAAGAATATATTATAAATTCATTCAATTAATTTTTTTCTGAATTTGTCACATTTAAATCTAATAATAAAAAATAAATTTAGGGGTGTAAATTGCAGTTCTAATCAGTAGGGTAAAATAATATAGTACAATAAACAAAGAAAGAGAGAGGCTATTCCTTAGATACATCTAAACACATTCATGTCATATAATCCCATGACATTACAGCATTAATGTATAAATGTGTATGTGCAGCATATCGCAACGAAGGAACCCGTCTGTATGAGAGTCCTGTCAGTTGGATCAGTGGTTCAAGTTTGCTGGAGCAGCGAACAACAAAGGCAGGAGAAATGATGGAAAGCAGGTCGCCATTAAAAACGGTTCCTCCTCGTTCCCTTGGCGTCCTGCCCGCCAGCGCAGAGCGGGGCCTCGGTTCAGGGCCGGAGCGCCGCCACTACGCGCCAATCAGAAGGCAGTAAATCCGTACAATATCAGGACATGCTGAAGTCTGCCGGCTTTTACTGTGTCTGGGAAAAAGCAGATTTGTTAGAAATAATGGGTGGATTTTTTTTATACATTCTTGAAGATAAATAGAAAACCACAGCTGGTGAAATTTAAATAAGACAAACAAAAACAGTGTAACTGTATATTCCGAATGGCGTGATCGTGGTCGGCTCTGCTTTATTAACGAAGACTCGTTATGGAGTTTTACATACTGCTGTAGCCTCCTCACTGTTTTATGGACATATCAGATTGACAGAGGTCCTGTGTGGCTGCTGCTGGAGATCAGTAAGCATTGTAAGAAGGGAATGAGGAAATATGGATCTACCTACAGAATTAACCATGAAACTTTTTCCCTCTCATCTAACACTGTAATGACAGGGGAAAATGTAACAGTTTTGTAAAATATATATATATATGAGTGTGTGTGTATGTGTGTGTGTGTGTATGTGTGTGTATGTGTGTGTGCATGTGCAAAATATATATATATATAGCGCACCTTTAAATATGTTTTTTTTTTCCATGCACAAGTGCAAAACACACCATCTGCTTCATGTTGGAAATAAGTCACACTGCAGATTTTAGAGCATTTCTAGGAAATCTCTTCTCTTTTTTTTGGTGTATTTGTAATCCAGGAAAGTTAGTTGAAAATTAATTGTTACAGTGCAAAATGACTCCCTTCTATGTTCAGAGGTGTGTTTTGTTCATAAATTATCTGCTCCAACTGAATGATACAAAACCATTAGTTGCATTACCAGGTATATAATAATGTAACCGTAATTTCAATATGAAACACCAAAATAATACCCAGTAGTGAGAATATGCAATGCCCATTGCAATTATGTAGTTTTATGTGCAACAAAAAGTATAACGCATTTGTGGACTTCCCACACAAACACAATTTATATACCAAATATTTCACCTAGGAATCAACCTCACTTAAATAAATATTTCATTATTTTTAAATATTTGTTTACTATAACATTCACAAAGTTTTTCTTCCCAACCATTAAGTCCAGCTATCTTTTAGTAGTAGTATATTTTCTTAGAATTTTGGCATGTTATTTAAAATGATTGAAACAGTGCACATTTCTGTGCGTCATGCATTTCACCAAGAGCAAATAGAATTGGAAAGGCCATCATGGCTGACCTGGGCTTGAGCGCCTCCTATAGGCTGATGGCTTAGCAGTTCTAGCTTAATTACATGTCATCATCTGACCTGTAGAGTGAGGAAAAGGAACCATATGCTTGGCAAAATGATTTGGACGGTAGTAAGTGTTACTTTGACGGTGTTCAGGCTGGCTTTGTAGGTGCTGTATACACTCAAAAATGTTACAAAAAAATTAATTTCTTAGTTTAATGTGCCAAGGGCATCAAGATTGACAATTTGGACAAATGTATTCTGTAATGCAAAGTGTGTACCTGCTCTGACCAGCCTATAATTTTTGGTATTCATAATTTTTTTTTATTTTTTTTTTTGGCTAGACTGAAAATTTGTTTATCTAAGAATGTTCCCTTAAGGCTTCTGTTTTTACTCCTGTCTGCTAGACATATGTGTACTGCTTCTATTTCTCTGTTCTGACATGAATAAAAATAAAGCAGCACGTTTCAGACTCTCCAATGCAGGTGTTTCGTAAATTAAAACAGAGGTAAGATGCTTAAAATAAGCACGCGAGTGCGGCAAACGCATTTGGATATTTTTCACATTTTTCCCTTAATTGCCGATAACAGTAGCGAGAGTAAATAAATGGATGGTTGCTCATTACGTGAGGTGACAGAGAGGGCTTGTGTAATCAAAATTATAGAAATTATACTTTATCACTCAAAATATGACCAAATACTGAATTAAATATAAGTGCAAACAATGACTCCTGTCCACCGATCAGATAAATATAATAATGCCGTTTCATAAGCATCAATAACAGTAAGCAACACAAAGAGGGGTAATGGGGAGGGGGAGGGGGAAATGTTAAATTAACGCCTCTGAAATTGGTAGAGAGAGACACAATCGTAAGAGAGGTGTGAAGTGTCACATTTACAGGTCAGACAAAGAAGTCCCCCCACCCTGCTTCATGATGGCTTATCTGTTGTGCCAAAGGAAGCACCTGCTGGGTCTGTTAATTGAGATCAAGGCGGGACGGGGGTGTTAGGGGGAGGGGGGGCGGCAACGTGCCAGTGCTGGGTGGCTGCCGCTCAAGGCATCGCCTCACAAACAGGCCCCATGTCTCCATTTCAGGGCTTTTCTGAGAGACTCCCAGTTGACTGATGGCTTTATTAATTAATTTGTTTAGTATTATTATTATTATTATTATTTTCTAGCAGCTTCCATAAGATAAGTAGCTTGCATTTTTCATTAACAGGGCAGGAAATTCAGAGACATTCACATTTAGTTCCGGTATTTGTTTTTAATTTGTACAACTACGGGTGTCAGGTACTTCGGAAGGCTTTAGTGTGAGCATATCCCATCTCGCTCTGGGGTCCGAGCACAGGGTCAGTCCGTTCATCTGGCACCCTGGAGCGTCTTCTGGGGTTAAGGGCCAAACCTGCTGGTCACTGAAGATGTTCGACCTGAGACCAAATAGATTGCATCTCTTTGGTCAAGTAAAGGTCTTATTCAAACAGTATTTGCATGATGTTTTCATTTTGTTGCAGTTGTTGAAAGCCATGTGCATTTTTTTCCTCCATTATTCTTGTGTTTAAAATCACACTTTTGAATGAGCAATTCCTTTAAGAGGTCAAATGGTATAATGTAAGTTTCCACTAAATGTTAATACTATATGTGGGTTAAAAGAATATCTGTATATGATTGATTACTAAGGCATCAAGTCAAACACAAATTTCATTGACTAATAAAAAAGTAAAAGTCAGAAAAGCAGGGCTTCTCTATAAACAATAACCTGGACAATTAATAAGGTGCTCACAATATCTTACATTCCAAATCAGTGGAAGTTACTCTTACAGTATATATTTGTCAAATTGTATTAGTGGTTTTGAACTTAAGAAGTTTGTTGTGTAACAAAGCGTGGAATCGACACACTTACAAATGCAAATGCAGCATGCTTTATAAACATGAAACAATAGCACACTTAGATGCAGGACAAACTGCAGAAATAATGTGCAGAAAGTCCCTAATTGTGCTGTAGTCACTGTACCTATACGTTATTGAGTATACGTTATTGAGTATATGTTATTGAGAATTGAACTGTCAAACTAATTATTTTACCTCAAATAAGGCCAAAGAGACATCAACAAGGCATCAGAGAGAAGATTAGCTCTACAGGTGACAAATCTATTTGTCAGTGACATTTTTAGTGTTAAGTCACAGTGACTATGATCTGATCAAAGAGATTATCCCCCACTGGGTCCAATTAGAACCATACTGTAGTAGGAAGAGAAAAAAAATCACCAACTTCTGTTATTCATTGTCCAGGCCTAGACATTTTTTCCTCAGCATAGGTATTTTCTACCATCGCCATGATTAAGGGAAGATGGCTTTAGATTAAAGTGCTCTGTCCAGTCACTTAGGACTTGGAGGGCATACGTTGTACCTCATTAAGTCCATTCCATTAACTCCCAAACACGGTTTGAAGTGTATCACGGTCAAAGGTCACGCGGAAAACAGATCTCCATTTAACTCACCAGCTGGAGATGATAATTAGCAGGTGTGCCGGTGCCGGCGTTTACGGGATGACATAAGGCTGCTTCTCAGTGGTGGCGTGATCTGGCAGAGCACCGCCGTGGGGAAAACTGGCTGGAATGGGGAACGGCAAAGCGGTTTATTTAATTCCACACACCGCGCGGTGTAGCTGGTGTTTAAGCTCCCACTCAACAGCTGAGAAAGCGGAATGACACTGTAAAACAATAGATGATCACAAAAATGTTATATTTATCAATTTAGCAACAAACAGTCCCTGTAGAAAGTGGAGAACACTGTGACATGGAGATGTCACAAGCTTGTTTTATTATACTAATTGTCATATTTAAAATGTACTGATTTTATAAAAATGTCCGACGAGCGAAGGCCATTGGGATGCAATTAACAAACTACAAAAGAAACACTTTAATCTCTTTCATAACGTTGATGTCTCTTGATGTACTGAACTCTGATTAATGCAGACACATTCAAAGCTTTTCAAGGACAGATAACCTGAATTTCAGTGTTTATTGTTTCTCTGTAAAGACTAAAAGTGTATTTTTGTATTGATGTTTTTCCCCTGTATTGGTTTATCTTTAGACAACTAGTACTATCAAAACAAAAGTTTGTTTTACCAAGGAGAGGGACCCAGGCACATTAGGAATCTGAAAAAACAAAAACTTTGTCCAACTGACAGATTTATAAACACTAATAGCTCCCCATAAAAGCTATACCCTGTAATAAAAATATATATGAATGAGTGTTTTCACTGGATGTGTCTCATTGGTTGGGATGGGTAACAGATCTTCTTGACAGAGGGCTTGTGTTGTAGATGGCAGGTTTACTAGACTCAGGGCTTTACATTTCTGGGGTAACGGGGATTGGCTCGGGACGGAATCGACGCAGCACAGCAATAGCACACAAACACAGAGGTATAGTTTTGGCAATGAAGGGAGGAAGAAAACACTGGAATGTCAGATGGGACATAAGGAACCATAAGTTTCCAGGATTGGGTCTCGGTAGCGGTCAGGTCTTCAGTCTGGGATACCTGGGGCAGGAAATGTTGTAAGTACCAGGAACCAAGGCAGGTAAGCTGAATTCTCACCTATAATGGTAGCTAATTGAAGCTACCCATCCCCCCCCCCCCCCCCAAAAAAAAAAAAAAAACACTTGGTGCCCCCGTCCTTTGCACTGTAGGTTTATTCCCTGATGGTCATCGACCCCAAATAAAACTGTCATGCAACGGGAAGGCCTCGGCACAGCAACGCCGGGCTAAATAAAGCCCCGACAGCTTTCATCCAGCGAGGAAGACGGAAACGCCAGCATCACGCTGTGGCGCTTTTCACAGGACGGCGGCGCCTCGCTGGGCAGGACGGCGTGAGCTCAGCGACGCCGGACTGCTGGTGGGGCGTGACACCGCGAGGAGCAGCGGAGAGTGGTGCGTCTCAACTGAAGTGTGTGCCAGCAACTAATTTTCTTATTGGTTTTGGTTAAGTGGAGGCGAATCCGAATCAGAACTGAATCTGAGAGCGAAACTCATGCCTCAGTATATCTCAGCAGTGTGTGTGTGTGTGTGTGTGTGTGTGTTGGGTCCAGCTAACTGCATGCAATATACTATCTAGGCCTGTGTTGTGCTATGTGGATTTTTTCCTGAGTAAGCTGTTTTTGTGTTTAGTTCCTCTGCATCAGACTTTTGATAAATGTCCTTCATACAGAACTGATGGAGATTCCTATTTGTGTGATAAGTTGTGCTTATTTATGAAATAGAAGAGCACATGCAGGTCTGCATCAGGAGGCACGTAGGTACTATTGCATTTTCTCAGGTGTACTTCCCTGAAGAAAAACAATGTCACCGTTGTTTTCCATAGAACCCTTTGCGTACTTCCGAGACACTGCCACATCCTTCTTAAGTTTACACTAATTACTCTCCCTGTTTGTGTTTGGGATTTGGCAGACAGCGGAATTGCTACTGGCATGGTAGCATTCCTAACAGTTAATAAATCCAAAATATTATGTGTGAATTTAAAAAAAAAAAAGTGCCATTAAGCAAAGGACATTACAGAACCTGAAGTATAAACTCGGTCTAAAAACCAGGACAGTAATTCAGGACAACTGTGACCTCTGTCCCTAATAAAAGTAAGATTAGTGGTCAAACAATTCCAATAATAAGATCCATATGGAACCAAAGCTTCCACATATGTAATTAGACAAATCTAACAGCTTTGATGAAAGTAAATATAAGGACATTTCTTGACATTTAATATGATGTATTGTAAACATGTGGTATAATTTGTTAAGTTTTCTCCTTTAATCTTTAGCAGAACCGTTTACTAGATATTAATGCTAAGCTACTCTGCTGGAGACAACACATAATAGTTTAAGACTTCAAACTAAACAGTATTTTTAGTCTGTAGTTGTCAGTTATTTTTATGTTTTTAAGGCATTGCAGAAGCAGACTGGACATAAACAGATTTTTTTTTTCATAAATCAGTGGAAATTTAATTAACATACGAGAAAATGGGACACCGTGTTTTTATTTTTTTTTCCTATAAAAGTTTCTACTGCAGTCTTTAGCAGAAAGGTTTTTGGAACTGCCAGGTACAACAAGCAGACCAAACCGAGCAGGTCACGTGGTGCAGACTGTGACGCACAGAGAGCCCAATGTTAACTTGATCGAAAGCCTGAGGGTTTTTTGGCAGCAGAAGGAACGCTGCCTTGCCCCGTGTCATTGTGTTGCTAATTAGAGGAAGTTATCTGTGCAGGTGTCTGGGTTTTGCACGCTCATAATTGCCACCCTTTGCTCCTGTTTCCTTCTTAAATCCTGTCCTCCACGGCAAGACGCGCTATGAGCCGGACAGATACCTGCTTGGTGACGCGGCTATTTAAATAAGACGCGCTGATCTCCGCCGGATCCCGTGAATAACGAGCGCTGCTTACCTTCCTGTTTCTCAAACTAAAATGAGAAACACACGAGGCACGCCGAAGTGTCTCTTGTCTCTGGAAATGGGGGAACGTCGGAAATGTGATGTTAACATGATATAAGCAGAGGAACAGCAAGTCCAGCAGAACTCACCATCTCACTGACAAAGATCCCCTGAAGAAAGCATGGACGCTCATTTAAAATAACCTTTACCTTCTTACCCACCGAGTAGTCTTTCAAACTGAGAAAAACTTTCTCACATGCCATCTGTGTGGTGTGTTGATTTGGACGCTCTCCCTAAGATGTATGGGTTTCTACTAGGGATGCAACGTAAAATCCGAACCGTTAGTTTTAGCATCCACGATTCGGTGCACGTAGCCGAACAACGGTTATGAATAGTAATTTTAGTCATTGTGATCTCTGCTTTAACATGTTTTTTAGACCATGTAACTTAATCGCTAAAACGGATTTAAGCTATTTTTCTGTGTGGCCACACGTGAGTTGCAGCCATTCAACAGCTTGGAAACAGGGCCGCAGGATAATCGCCAGAGTTTTGGGTGACAGGTGTAAATATTCTTCCGAACGCCGGCATTTCGGCGAACTTAACAATTTTGATCAAAGCCTTTGATGTAGCAAATTTTAGGTTTATAATGGCATGACATAGATTTGCCGTAAGATTTCTTGCGCAAGCATCACGCCAGATGCGTGATCAGTTGGCAACCCTGTTTCGGCATTATATGGACATTGACTTACGCCCACAATTTGGTATGCAGATAAGTAGTGTCCCTAAAATCTTAGTAATCAGTATAAATTAGGCATTTCCTTATGTTTAATAAGCACAAGATCTCGTATTTAAAAAATGTGGCTGTCAGGATGTTGTCCCTTTCATCACCACCACTTCAGTGCTAATCGCTTCCATGGTATACTAAAACACCAGTATGAATACGCCGGATTTATACAGATTACTAACTTTCGGGCGTCACAATACAAATCTCATTAATACAGCATTTTAGGAGTACTACTGGTACTAATCTGCCGCCGCCATTTTGAAATCGAAAGCGAGGCTGGGCGGGAGTGCCCTCCAGAAAAACCGGGAAGTACAGTAGAAAAATGGCTCGGGCCACAAACCTTGAGCCGGTATCACATTTTACCAAGAACAAGGGGCCGAGGAGGAACGTCGAATTACCAAGAGACAGCAACTGAATAGAGGGCCACATTACTGGTATCAAAGGTAAGTTAACGATTTTGACAGGCTTTGTCAGTGTGCTAGCTAATCAGCAAACGTCAATATAATATTTGCAACGTGATTAGCTAAGCATGGTCATAAATAAGCTTAATTTATTTAAGTTTGTGGTAAACTGTTGCACAGAATGCTCATTAGGAAATTGAATGTTAAGTGTTTTGTAAAGGTAACGTTACATTTTGTGTTAACTAACGTCAGGTGGTATATTTATGACAATGTTTAGCCATCTAGCTTACAGGCTACTGTTTTTTTTTTGTGTGTATCAGTACTACTTGAACATTTGCAGTATATTTTAACAATACCGCGATAATACTAATAACCTTGATAATTTGATATCACAATTATAGTGACCAAAATTTTCATACAATTTCATCTTCAAATCAGTGCAGAAGTTTATCCTCTTCAGTTTGTATTAATTTGCTTGCAAAACGTTATCACCTTATCCTGCTGGACAGCACTCACAAGCACTGTTACCCTGAGCTAGGTTAAAAGAGCAGGATGCTATACGTATATGATACATTACACAATGTTCTGCACAGTTAATCGATTGGGTATCTTTTAGGTGGAACCAGAGTCAGGTACTTCATTTCAAATGATAATGGGTGTTCACATATAAAAATAAAATCTTAAGCACCACTGTGAGGAATTATAGCAAAAGGCGGTTTGGTTATACTGTATATCCTCAGTACTGAAAATCCATGATTCTGCAAAAGTGTGTATACTAGGTTTGCAAGGGTCCGGGTTACTCGGAAATCGATTTGTCGATTTTGGTAATATGTACAGACTGGTACATGGCAGTACGCCATACTAGTATCAACGAATTTATGACATTACGATGGCTACAAGGTTTGGCAGCTAATAGTATAGTACCTGACAATAACGTAATTATTATTTTTTTCATTCTTAATGTAATAAGTCTGATGTAATAACTGGCCAATAATATTCATTTCCTGAAACAATAACATAACTTTCTGCCAATAATGTAATAAGTTATCAGCTTTTATTATATTAAGGACTGAGAAATTCATTGTTATTGGCATGCTGTTATGTTATTGCTAGTTATTACATTATTGGCTGCTACATTAGATGATAGGAATTTTTCAGCTCCATTATGGGACCACCATCGTATATGTGACCCATCATTGACCGAAATGTCGCTATGCGGTGCATGACTGTAGGAATAAAAAGATGGATGGGGGGTGTCACAGTACTATCGTTTGGGCAAATATGATTACTTTAATCGACTCCCTCTCCTTCTGTGGATACACTGTACCTTGGTTCTTTTTGATAACTGAGTCTGGGTACAGTGGTATCAGGATGCTCTGTGTCCTTTGCACGCCAGATGTCGTTGCATGGGATGGGGTGTGGTCTAAGTGACACCTATACCCCTTTTTTTCAAAATAAATTTAGAAAGCATCACATGAGATGAAGCTTCCAGTTTTTATCCAGTATAAGGGAAAACTGGAGCAGATTTTCCTAAACTACGTCTGGGGGCCTGATTCAGTTTGACCAGTGCTCCGGATTGTCCTTAAATTATGTAGAACTACAGGTTTAGTTTGGATAAATTCATGAAATATGTTTCTTTCCATCATTTAGAGCTGTTTGTGCACCTGTGTTTTTTGCCTTTCCACATGAATGGTTTTCAAGTACCGGCTCCCACCGAGAACAGTGGGTAGCCCATCTGTACCGGAAATGGACTTGAGGAGCAAAGGTCACCAGTTCATGTTCAAGGTGGCGTCCTGCTGTTGTGTTTTTGAGCGAGTTCTTAACCTGAACTGCTGTGGAGAAATATGCAACTGTAGGTGAGCGTGACGGTGTAGGATGCAGGCTGCAGGAGACGTCAGGCGCTTTGCAAAAGAATACCACTAGAGCAAATGAATTATAATGGGGGGCCAGTCACGTGTGCCTGTTGCCAACATGGCCGTCGATGTGGCTTCGCTCTGGACTCTGCTGCGTTTCTGAATCTGACGTGGGGAATATCTGCATTCCAGGTTACCTCTGCCTTCTTCCGGGCTTAGCATCACACCTCGAAACATTACATCAATTCAGAATTCTCAGTGAGGTTAATGCACCAATTACTCTGAACACTGATGGGGAAATAGGTGCAGGTTCTCCAACCTTGTTAATCTTAATAGCCCAGAAGGTTCTGTCAGTGTGATTGGGGATTTAGGGTAACTGCCTCTCTGTCGTTCAGGTGTACCTATGAATATTTTGCCCACCCCCTGGATGCAACGTAGGGTTATACCCATGACCTCATATATATGTATATTTTTTTAATGAAACCCAACAAAATTCAAGCATTATTCTAATACTTTGCAGTTCTCCTTGTTTAACACACACAAACTTCAGCAGATAATATGTGTGTGTGTCTGGGGGGGGTATGTATATATTACATTGTGGGGACAACAAACCTGTTATTTATACAAATTCTTAAAAATCTATGAATGCAATCAAAAAAATGCCAAAAGTCATTTATTTTGTTTGGTTACTTAAGGTTAGGACTGGGTACTGGTTAATGTAGTCATAGTTGGGCTTAAGATTTTGCCCGTCGAAATGAATGGAGAGTCCCCACAAAGACATAGATACCGAATCTGTGTCTGTGTGTGTGTGTGTGTGTGTGTGTGTGTGTGTATGGGACCATCAGATGAGCCTATAAGGTTGCAATATTATGTTTATGAACTTGATTAGTATTTAACTAGTTGTTGCAGGAATCCTCTTCTCTCTAGTTCTGGCAGGAATATGAAGCAAAGTAACTCAATATTAGTGAAGAACATTTGGAGGGGAAAAATGCCATTTTATCAATTTTAGAGATCGTAAAGCAAATTGTGGGGGGATGTTTTAGTTTGTTACCAAGTACATCTATGGAAATGCACCAAAATAAACCGCAAGCTGAGAAGAATATTAGTGCTATATATATATCAGATGTCATAGAATTGTCTACACATCTGAGCATTTCTTCCTAGCACCAGCCGTGCCGATAGCCTGCGCGCTGCCATTTTCTCATCTCCCACATTAAAACAACATGATTAAATATGGAAAAAGAACAGAGGTCTGAAGGCTCCTCGGGGATATCATTAGGGCAAATTGCCAAGGAATGAAACATGAGCCATCCAGGAGAAACTGTGAGCTAAAAGAATACCAGGGGACCAGTACGCTCGACAGTTGGAGCTCCGGTAATGTGCGAACTACAGCTCCAACTATCAAGAGACTCTGCTCACTGACACACACAATGTCACAATTGACCAGCAAACCGGCCAACCTTAACGGCTGCACAGCAGCAGCTAAATAAATCTCTCCCCAAACACCCGGGTATACATCTGTCTGCCTTATCACAGTGCTTTTGCTTTTCGTGTTTTTATTTCTTTTTAGATGGGGGTGGCATTGTATGGGCGTGGGGGGGGGTTTGGTTGGACCACCATCTTCACATTAGCAGTGGCTCTGGTATCATGCTAGCCAATCAGTTAATTAACATCAACTGGGGAGGCGATCCATCAATTATTTTTGCTCAAATAAGGGAAGATGTTTGTCCGAGATCTTCAGTCATGTTGTGCAAGGTGAAAATACTGCTTACGGGTCTGTGAAGTAACCCTAACTGGTCAATAATTTGCATCCTTGGGTAACTTGGGTTTAAACAGCACCACCAGAAAACAGGAATGAAAACGGTCATCTCCATATTGTCAGATTTCTAAATTAATTAATTTGTGGCAGCACGGGACCAACCTGAAAAGGAGCCTCTTTTGACGTCAGTGCCGTAAAGCAAGGGCTTAAAGATTTTTGTATCTACCCTTCTTCGGTGGTTTTTAAGTCCCACAGTCACCTCAATGCGGATGATTTATGGGGCAGTATAAAGGAATTCTTTGCCTAAGATAAGGAAGGGAGACCTTTAGATAAGCAGTTAAAAGCAAATGAGAAGATTTATTTCATGCACTCATTCCTAGCTTATGTCCTGCATGGTAGCAACTCAATTGCTCATTGTTAATACTTCCGGACATAAAGGTCCAGAAGTCAGCATCTTAAAATACACAGAATCTTACAGCTAAGATTTTTTAAGGTTTCACTTGCATTTTATTCATGCAGACAGATGTATGTTTTTGAATAAATGATCAGATACAAAACCCTGTGTTACCTGGTCAACGGGGTGTTTGAATGCAGAATGGAAGCTACCGGATTCTGGATTGTGGTTTCTTTTGGTGTTAATTCTTGGTGTTCTTGTCGGATTACAAAGTAAGAAGCATGGCTACACTAGCAAATGTTTATGGTGGCTTTTCTCCCTTTTCCTAATTGTTATGCCATTACAGGAATTGAGCAGGCCATTAGGAGAGTCAGATATGATCGATTACTGGTTGCCGCATACTAGGTAATATTAATCGAAACACATTAATTGAAACAAGGAAATTGATGCATTTATGAATCAAAGACATGTCACCTAGATCAGTGGTTAACAACTAGGGGGCCTCAATAAGGACCGGGAATGACCCCTCAATTTACTAGAAAAGCATACATATAAGCTCAGCATGGTTATCAATATATTTTCAAAACCAGATATAGGATGACACAATTCCATTTATATTAATATGCATTTATTATGCAATTTAAATTAGGGCTTTTAAAACATTTTTAAGAGAAAGTAATAGTATTCCTTCCGGAGTGTAAACAGCTTGAGAGTTTCAGTGCGGTTACACAGGATTCCATAATTCTTATCTAAAATCAAACCATTCAGTTAGCAGCGTCTCACAGGGAAGCTGATGTAGCGGAGAGGCAGGGAATCGTTGTTACTTAGTTCATTTTTAAATATTGTTAAAAATATAATTTCCAGTATTTGTTTAATTTTGTTGAAGGCTAGTACCTTATAATGAGGGTTTTTTTTTTCAATTATTAAGCACATGGTCAAAGGTTGTCAGGCTTCTGATGTTAGAGCCATTTGCCAAATAGATTTAGTTTTAGTTTTTTTGTTCATAAAAATTCACCTTCTGTTTTGAGCA